AAGAATACCTAATGGTTAAACTTTTATTTATGTTTTTTCGATAAAGGAATAATCGTTATTTTTGGATATTTATTTTTTCGATCATTTTTAACCCTTNAATAAATTCCGAGAATTTTTTATTTATAGATCATCAACATTTTCAATAACGACATTTTTTAATATATGTTTTTTATCAAGAATACCTAATGGTTAAACTTTTGTTTATATTTTTTCGATAAAAGAATAATCGTTATTTTTGGATATTTATTTTTTCGATCATTTTTAACCCTTTATGGGCTGTAAGCCTACAATTAGAAATACATATGCCTGACGAATTTGGAAACTCTTCATTCTTTTTAAAGGATAAAACACAGGATTTTTCCTAGAAAATTATAAGAAAGATATGATTTTCTTACTATTCAGTTTGAAACCAATTATTTCCCCAATTTTTTTCTGAAAATTGCACAATATTCAAAAAATATTTTCCAACAATGTATGTATTTATATATATATATATATATTTATATTAGCTCTAGAAATATTTATTTCTGAAATTGTATCATAAAAATTTAAATAGCTTCACACAATTTCCTTATGCGTAGTGAAACTCTTTGGAAAGCATGTTTCCCTTGGCCCATAAAGGGTTAACCGCTATAAGAAAGGCTGCATTTTAGCGACCGCTTTAAATCTTANTATTCTTTTTAAAGGATAAAACACAGGATTTTTCCTATAAAATTATAAGAAAGATATGATTTTCTTACTATTCAATTTGAAACCAATTATTTCCCCAATTTTTTTCTGAAAATTGCACAATATTCAAAAAATATTTTCCAACAATGTATGTATTTATATATATATATTTTAATATTAGCTCTAGAAATATTTATTTCTGAAATTGTATCATAAAAATTTAAATAGATTCACACAATTTCCTTAAGCGTAGTGAAACTCTTTGGAAAGCATGTTTCCCTTGGCCCATAAAAGGTTAACCGCTATAAGAAAGGCTGCATTTTAGCGACCGCTTTAAATCTTAAACAAATTGAATCTGATAAAGGCTATGAGATGTTGGAAAAAATAATTATAATTTTTATTTCGAAAAAATAAAAATCAAAAAATAGCGATTAGATTAGATATGAACAATTTGAACCCAATTTCAACCTATAAATTATGTTTTTTATTATAAAGATCATAACCGTTACATCCCCTGAAAAAATTCACTAAAAACTATCTGTCACTTTAAATTTTGATTTCTTGGGCGTTGATGGGTTAAATTGACGATTAATGTATCTTAATTTAATTATTTCACTCATTGTCGATTCAAGTAATAACAATAATTTATTTTTTATGCATTCAATGCACTGCTTTTTGAATAATTATTAACACAGTTTGGACACACAAACACACTGTGAATTGCGCTTTAACTTATTGATTCAAGCATTTTTTTAATGTCTAAAAACTTATATTTATTTTAATATCAATTGATTTTAATTTTTTATTTTGTCTTATTTAATCTAATTTTATTTATTTTTATTTTATTTCATTTCGTTTTATTTTATTTTATTTTATTTCACTTTTATTGTTACTATTATTATTATTATTTTTTTTTTTGATTTCACTGAAATTTCTTCATGATTCATTTCATACTTTCTAATAAGTAAACATTCACAAGCGAAAATTTCAGCTACGCTCTATAAGGTCTCTTACTTTTTTGTGCTTTTGATAGTCACTCCACCTTTTAAGTACAATTAGCATATAATTAATTTCATTCGCCTTTTAAATTTATTATTTATAGCTTTTCTCAGCCACTTTTTACGGCTGTCGGCTGTTGGCGCGCACTGCTAAATTCAAACTGAATCGAACCAGCGCCAGGGCAACATAACACTGCTGTATGCATACATGCATACATACACATACATATGTACATTTATTTTTTTGTAATACTCAATGTTAGTAGAGCAACGTTTGCATAACTGAGAGTTAAAGGCCGAGATTCTCGCCAAAATTTTGTCCTTTTCTTCAATTACCGGTTGCTTTCAATGGATACTTATTTTTGGGAGCGAAAAGGCTCTCAATATCCTGCCAAAATATGGTCGTTGTTAGTGAGTTTTTTTTTATTTTATTTTTTATTTTTATTTTTTTTTTATTCGGTTAGCAATCGAACACACAACCCTCAAGAAATTACCGGACATGCCACCTACAAATGCACTTATCAACGGCTGGCGCGTACAGAACTTTTTTTTTCTACGTACATATAAAATGTATTCAAAGTCAATAAACAAATCGTTTCGCACTTTCATGTGTTTAATTATAGCCGAACAATTCGCCACTGTAAATTTGAGATAATAACCCAATTTTCATATTTTCCACCTAAAATTAAATCAAAACACCCCTTTTTTTCATTAAAAAAATGATTCTTCTAATTGTAATGCCTGTACCGTTGCGCTTTACGCCCAAAATAATTTATCTCAAACCAAATACACGAAAATTGAACTAAACTGCTGCGAAAGTCATCAAACACAAGCTCTTTATGCGTTTAATTACTTAACAGGTTACTGTTAAGCATTTAACATTAATAATGTTAAGTTAACATACTACTGTTGAAATTGCTGTTAAGCGTCGCAGCTGCTAATTTATGTTGCTGTTTATGCCTATCGAAGCTCGCCTTTTCGATTTGTTTACTAAAAAACAATATTAAACAAAAGTTAAAGAGATATTACACAAAGTTGTAACATCACATGCCGGCACCAGTTGCTCTCTAACAGTTATTACAGACAATTTGCTTTCAACTGCTTAGGAAATGAGGAAAATCAAATGCAAATTGGGAGATTAGTTGATTATGAATTTTTAACACGCAGACGCTGTGGGCGTGAATATGCAAATGAGCAAATTGAAAAGCAAAAGTAAATAGAAAATGTCAGCAACAGTAAAGTAGTCGTAGTCAGCTGGCAGCATCTAAAGTACATACACTCACTTGGGGTCATCTGATTAAGTCAAGTGACATTTTGACTAGTTTTGGCTATTTTGCCTTTGTTTATTTAATGTTTATATATTTTTTATAATAGTTTAGCACTTTACCCTAACCAGCGCCTCATAAATCCACATTTCAAACCTCGTGTAAAAATGATGAAAATTCAAAAAACCTAAACATTTGCATCAACAAACTTTAAACTTTTTAAATAGAATTTTCAGAAAAATTTTGGGTATGCAGTTTTGTATGTTAAAGTGCAAATTTCAAGACGCTAGAAAATCGCGTTGATTTTTAATAATTTTTATTTTGCTGATGCTGCTAGGCATTTTCTCCCATACAAACGAAATTGTCGGGCATATTAAAAAAAACATTATTAAAAATCAACGCGATTTTCTAACGTATTGAAATTTGCACTTTGACCTACTAAAATTTAATGACCTACAAAGCTGCATAACCAAAATTTTTCTAAAAATTCGAAATAAAAACTTTCGGATGCAAATGCTAAAGTTTGTTGAGTTTTCACAATTTTTTTACGAAGTTTGAAATGTGGATTTGTGTATGTACGTGGCGATGTTTATAAAAAATAATATATAAACATTATATAAACAAAAGAAAAATAGCCAAAACTAGTCAAGATGTCACTTGACTTAATTAGCTGTCCACAAGGGCATATGCTAGGTACTTCCCAATAAACATTTGGGTTGAAGATCATACATATTCCACATATTGGATACATATTCCAATTTTCAGTTTCAAAAAAAAAATCTGAGCTCTCCACTTGAGAAAAGCTTGCATATCAATTTGAAATCAATCTGTATTCAACGTTTGATCAAACATTGGAAAAACGTGGTATATCCGCTTGAGAATCAATAATGTCTTAAAGTTTGGAAAAAATTTTGCTTTATGCATGTTGGATAAATTAAAAAAACTACCCCAATGAACTATCGTCAGGTATCATCGACAATTCCTGCTAGGCATATTTTTAGCACTTTGGAGTTTAGGTGGGGGAGTTGTCGATTTAAGTAACTACACCATCCTGAGCTGGCAATAACCATGTATTGTCTCGTGAGAGGTCCGCTTTCTCCGAGCCGATGTTAGCCGGTTCAATCTTAGCCCTGCCTAGAATCGGCTAATCCTTCAATCGTTGTCGTCAAGCCCAACATACGGTGGGCCCAATTTCAATGTCTTCAATTTTCTTTTATATGGCGCAGGAACATGGACGATGTCGAACCCAGATGAGAAGGCTTTGGGGACCTTCGTGTGAACTATTCTAAGCAAGGGTCCGTAAATGTTTTTCTCCGAATTTAATGGGCATCACACTGTTAGCGTATCTCCAAGGTTACAGCAATTCGGAAGTTTCCAGAGGAATCGGATCAGGGCTAGGGTTGTTAGTTGAGTAGTTTTGAGCGACCAGTGACAAGCTGAACATGTGTTGAGACATGTCGGTGTTGATTCTGGATAAGTAGATTAACCTGCTACGTCCAGAGTGACGGGGATCTCACGAGGCAACTGGAGCTTTTCTTCTGCTACAGGTGGGGATTGGGTTCCGATTAGGGAATTACCGAGACGAAGATGGTGTGTCTTGACTTGTCGTATTGACGAATGTCTCTTATACGGTGTTCGCATGAGGCAATTTTACAAGCAACTTTTAGTTGAAAGTAATAATCGCCTGGTGTGAACGGCCTTTCAACTAATCGCTTCCAATGAAGTTGGAGTGCAGCCAGCTTTTGATTCAACTAATTGCCTCAAAAATTTCCTGAAAAATGGTCTCAAGCGAACACCGTATTAAGGAATATCTATACTCTGTCGGCCCAAGTTTTTGATGAGGGTTTAGATTTCGTCTGTTAGTTCGCAGAGATGTTGGTTTGGTTGCGGGCAGGTATCGGTTTGAGTGCAGTTCAACTCAGAATTTGCTTGAAAAGGTGCAGTAAAGGTGTAACTTAAAACCAGAATTGCTTTCGTTTCTCAATGTGCTGATCTAAAAACTAAAGCAACAAAAAATCTCACTGAACTAACATAAATTATATTTTATTGAGTTCTGATTAATAAATATATTTTATATAATTATTTATGTAGCATATAATTTTAACAATTTTTCATTTCTCTTTTTAAAAATAAATTAAGTCATTTGCTTTTAATTATGCATACAATGTAAAAAAAAAGTTAGTTCAAGCATATACAGTTTAAATTATTGTGGTTTCACAGCATGAAACTTGGGTTTCTCATTTATTTAATGCAACCCAGCGTTCAAATTGCTCGTCCATAAAATTTTATTTAGCACTATTTGCTTATATACAACAAACAATGTGGGTATACAACTGTACGTTAAAACCCAATCGATCAGTGGGAGCCAACGAGTATCTAAATTGGTAAAATACATGTCTAAATATTCAGCTTACAAAATTTCTAGATCACAATGTCGTATTTCGGGGAATTTTTTCTGAAAGGTGCAGAAAAAGGTGGAATTAGAAATACTTTTATTTTTATTTATACAACAAAAAGCATACCCTTAGCTTCATTTCTATTCGATCGATTTCGCCACCCATGAGGTCAACAATATTTTCGCCGTGTTTGAGTAAGAATGCCTCCAATTCTTCAGCTTTCTGGAATGATTGAACTGTCTGAAATGGGAACAAATTATTAAAAGAACTAAATATTTATCCAAAAAAAAATAGTTTCAATAGTGTTTACAAACATATTGTCAATTTTGTAACTTTAGACGACTGTTTTCTTTCTCTTTTTTACCCTTGACAATTTCCCGACAATTACCTGTAAGAGATNACTTTCTGGAATGATTGAACTGTCTGAAATGGGAACAAATTATTAAAAGAACTACATATTTATCAAAAAAAAATAGTTTCAATAGTGTTTACAAACATATTGTCAATTTTGTAACTTTAAGACTTTCTCTTTTTTACCCTTGACAATTTCCCGACAATTACCTGTAAGAGATCGTTTAGATCTTGTTTGTCCAAATATGAGCGCGTCAACTCACGGCCATCGAAATCCATTTCGGCCTTAAAGATGGAAAAAAAATACAAAACATTCGTACAATGCTTGGTCTAAACGCCTATTTTAAGTTCCTATGTCATATACCTTGTAGCGTACTAGTGAATTTCCCATATCAATACCTTTAACATCATGTATGGCGCGAATCATCACATCACTTTCCAGCTCAGCATTGATTTTGTTCAATAAATCTTCCGATATTGATCTAAAAGGACATGAACTCCATAGTAAATGCTCAGAAATATATATCCAAACAGCCACACTTACTTGCCCACAAGCGCCGCTGCATTTGTGTAGATAATAAAGGAGGCCACGGCACCCAAAATGCCGCCAACCAGCAATGAACCGACAGCATCAAACACCGGCAAGCCAGTAAATGAAGTGAGCCCCATGCAGGTTGCCGCCACAGCTACGCTCGTTACCGCAGCAGCATCCTCAGTGAGCACAACGTTAACACAGGGATCCTTACCGCTCAGTACTGAAAGTTTATCGTAAAAATATTAATTTATTTTTATTTAAAAAACAACGCAAACAAAGGCAAGGCTGTCGTCACCCACCATACTCCTTAAACGATACGCCATTACACTTGGCCGCGCGCTGCAATTCATTCAAAGCCACTATGAGCGTAGCGCCCTCAGACACCAGCGAACCGCCGAGTATAAAGAAGGCCCAGAAGAAATCTTCTACTGGTACCGGATGCAAGAGTCCTGTGATGCCGTGATACACTGACAGGCCAGCGCCCACACAAAATATGCCAACACCCGAAATGAGCGAAGAAACGTATTTCATATTACTATAGCCATAAGGATGATCCGAGTCTGCCATTTGTGTGGACTTGTGTATGCCATAGGCTAAGATAAGTTGATTTATTGTATCGGCCAGTGAGTGTATGCTTTCAGCAAACATACTATGTGAGCCGGTATACGCCCAACCGCAGGCCTTAAACAGAAAATTCAAGCTATTGCTGTGATACGAAAGAGCAAACGTATTAAAATATAGCACTGACTGACGTTTTTGTTTAGACATACTACTTACATGCCAATTGCTATGAGCACAACTTTGCCCGATTTCCCTGTCAAGCCAGGCTCCGCATCGACCACAACCGTGCGTGCGCCGATTTCACGTCGGTAGTCGCGCAAACGCCGCTTAACTGTGAAGAGATCTGCAAAATATAAATGCCTTAACAAGCCAGTGCGATAGAATACTTTTTAAATCGCGTTATACTTTGTTGATGCTTCTTTCGTTCTATCTCACGCTTAAGTTGTTCCTTCAACAAATTCTCGCGTGAACCCCAGACACCTATAGCCTTCGCTTCCACATCTTTGCGCCAAAACACGGTTATGGGTGGCTCTTGTTCGTATGGCGAGCGTCGTTTTATTTTTGATAGACTGTCTAGGTCGGAGGCCTTCAGCAGAAAGTCGCTCATTGCGCGCGTTGGCGTAATAAAATTGCGCTCCAGGGAGGAGCGATTAAAGTCTACTAACACACGTTTCTATGTAATAGAAAAAAACAATTTTAGTATGATGCGTACCGTAGTAAGTCATTTCTGGCATACGGGCTTCTGCATGACAGCTTCAGCAGTGTGTGTGCTCGTTGCAGTCATCTGACCTGTAGGTGATGACTGTGCCTGCGCACTATTTGCTGTCACTTTGACTGCCTCTGGAGGTGTAACGACTTTGGCTATGGCTGCTTTAGCCTTTGCCGTTGCTGCTGCCACCGTAGCTGCGGTTGCGGCTGCATCTATTGTAGGCGACGTTTGCAATTGTGCAGCCGCTGCCTGCGCTGTTTCCTTTAACAACTCATTTACTGATATTTTAGCCGGTGGTATTGGTAAGTCTGTAACAGGAGCCTTCGTTTTCTCAATCACTATATCATTAATTTTGGAATCTTCAAATGTCGTCGTGATTAAGAGAGGGCCTTTGGAGGTTTTGATTTCTAATGTTTTTGTAGTTTCACCCCCTGTTGCAGGCTGTAGCGCAGGAGCTATATTGGCGCTCGAGGCAGTTTTGATTATTTGCTTAGGTTCAGTAGCCGATTTTTTGGTAGTTTTCACTTTTGATGTAGCCTCATTGCCAATACTTGTGGGTGAGCTAGACACAGCCGTTGCAGAAAGTGCCTTTAAGTAGTTATAATACAAATAAATGTAAATAGAACACTATGTGGATCAATGCAATAAAACCTTCACTTCCTTCTTGGAGTATGAGCGACCCCCAATAAAAGAAATTGCACAATTCTTCGACAACCTTTTGTTTGCGAAATATATGACATCATATGCGTTCAAGCAGTTATTAAACTGGAAAATATTTTTTAAATATATTATTTTTTTAACTGACATATTTCCGTATACAAACCCGTTTAATCAGGATGCTATTGAGACACTCCATTCCATGCAAGCCTCGACGCCCAAAGAAACGCTGCCTCAAATGCAACAAGCGCAAAAGTTCTGTTGTACGCGGTAGCATAATGCCTTCCGAACAACACCAATGTATTAAGTGTTCTGTCACAGTTCACCAAGCAGCACAGCTGAATGCTTTTTTGCAAGTGTTAGTACACGAAATACGCTCTTTACCTGGCTAGTCAATGCTAAAAATATACTTTAAACAATGAAATAAATACAAAAAATAGAAGCAAACAAAAGCGAAAGTCTTACTTTAATAATCAAATTGTATTTACATGCAAAACAATTGAAAGTACTCTGCACTCGTTGGAAAGTCTTTTTGTTATCGAAGTGTTTGTACTGCTATGGTTCTTCCTTCTTTTCTGCTGCCTCCGCCAACCAATACACCTAGGAACACTACGTCATCGGCCAGCAGCCTAAGCAGGCTGCGTCAAATTCGAAGAGTCCACAGTTTTTTTGTTGAAAAGGACTATTTCTATCAATTTTAACCAAGGCTAAGTCTCATTTTCAATCGTAAAGTGCAAACAATTGAATTGTGAAGAATATTAAAATTGCTCCAGAAAACCAATAACTTTATAACAATTTTCCTGAACTTGCCAAATGTCAGAATTTTTGACAACTCGGCTTTTTGTTGTTTTTATACCGCTTTTGTTTTTGTCTAGCCTCCATCCAACAGTTTTACGAACACTAGTCTTGTCAATAGTGGAATTCAATGGAATGCACCCGGACGTACAGGGTGTGTTAAACACCTTTTTTTTGTTTCCAACCCAAACGGTTCGAGACCAAAGGCACTTAGTTAAGCTGCGTTTACATGAGGCGATTCAACATTGCTCTGGAAAAATCGCATGTGTAAATAGTGATTCAAAAATCCCTTGCCTCAGAGTAGAGAGAAAGTCAAATTTTGCATGCGATTATCGCCTGTCAAAAAATCTCCTTTTGTAAAGGCAGCCCCTTTTGGCACTCCATAGCACCAGTAATATAAGTATGAACCAAACAATTTGTATACCATTACAACCAGAAAAAAAGGGCGGACCACGTTGTTGTTGTTGTTGTTGTAGCGGCTACAACAACCCCGCCCAGATCGGTTGGTATCTCAGTCGTTGTCGTCAAGTTCCACTAACGGCAACCCTAGGAAGCGTGCAGCTTCTGCGGGGTTTGCCCATAAGGACAAGGTCGTTAGGGATGTCGGGTTTGCCGGGCATGCGAAGAGATGTTTCGAGTCATGTGGGGTCTCTCCGCATGCCGGACATTCGTTAGGCACATCCTCATTCACCTACTCAAGTAGGAGTTTAACCTGCTGCAGTAGCCGGAGCGAAGTTGTGCAAGTGTAGTGCGCGTCTCCCGAGGCAGATGAAGCTCCGTCTCGTCAATGTCCGGGGGTGGTGTGCCTAGAACGGCATTCACAGGTCTAGAGTCTACATAACTCGAGACTGAGTCCCTGTGAATGCCGTTCAAGGCCTGACTGTAGGCTGTCGTAGGTTGCGTAATGAACCTCTGGACTTCGTCCGTTAGTTCATATAGATGCCTCCTGACGTGCCTAGGCGAGGGCTCCTCTGCAAGCAGCTGTCTGCTCGGGTGGCCACTTCTGTGGCGGACCACGTCTTCGTTTTTTCTGGGTTAACGGATCGTATTCTGCACTTATGCCAAATCCTAATTTTCATGTTTTGGCGTTTTCGTACGTAAACTTGTAAAGTAGAGGAAAATGAGGGAGCGAAATGACCACTGAAGTTGCAAGTGGGAAAATTTTAGTAGACGGACGGCAAATTCTAGAAAAAGGGGGGATGAGGGGGGGGTAGAATAGGACCCCCTGATTTCAAAACTACCCCCCTTTTTTCTAGCAACCCTATAGTTCTTATATAATTTATTGTTAAAGTTTTCATATAAACGATGAATAAGATAGCAAAATAACATACAACTTAGTGCCACCAGACTGGAATTTTGAATAATAAAAGCGGATTTTTAATTCGGAATTTTTACTTAGTAGAATTATTATTTCTGTGTTGCCGAAGAAGGGGGGGCTGAACACATTTTGCAGAGAACACCTTTCTGCGTAGGCGGCCTTCGGC